GTCGAACTCTTTTCAAAATTGGACTCCAATTACGGCTTGGACTCCAATTACGGCAAATTCTCACGGGAAAAAGTAAAGACAAATTCATTCCACTTCTCCGAAAATTCGTGCCATCACCAGGCCCTAATGGTAGATTTACATGGACCGATCTTAAGCACAGTGTGAGAAGAGTTATTACTGAAAACACTTCACTACATCAGCCCCTTGACGTTGGTTACCTGAATGAGTGCGAGGAGACGGTTTGTTGGGCAAGACTGTTCTGATCGCTGGCGTTGGTAAAATTAACCAAGGGCATGTCTATCCAACCGTTTTCGACCAGTGCCTCGGAGGGAGTACTGCAATTAGGGTGCTCGGTAAAGTGATCGGGGCCAGTCAAGCGATGAGGCCATTTGAGATATGCCGGATATCCCATTTGTCCCCTTCAGATGCTAATTCACAGAATTGTTTTCGATCTTATTGTTAGAAATAGTAGTGAAACCACTACTCTATGCCGCAGAATTCATGCTCATATTGGTGAACGAGAAACCATAGAGTAGGAACTGTTTTGAGCCTTGCCAGGTTCTGTTCAGTAATAGATGTGAGACCGGCTTACTTGCCAAGTTCCGATTTAATAATGGAAAACGTCGCTATTTTCTTTACTTTAACTAGACTCACCCTTTTTCGTAACCCTAAAGCACTTAGCGACCAGCCGTTGACCGAACAGTAAGAAATATGAACTAACCCTACAGTGTTCATGCCTGGTAAACATAACGATAAGCTTTATTTTAAGTTTGATGAGTACTCAAAGGAGAGAGGGAGGACGTAATGTTGATAGCCCTAGAAGCCTCCTTAAGGCTCAGGCAGATTAAAACTGCATTGGGATTTTGGAATTGTCAGGACATCATCAATTTGGATGAATTCCATTGGTTGATTTTTCGAATTTTAAATAGGGAACTCGCCCAATATTCTTCACCTGACGCCCTTTTCTATGACTATAAGAAGAAAATATGTTCCGTTTCAATATTGAGAAGGAAATGTACTTCTTAACAAAAATTCTATAGGTCTATGGTCTATACCAACTAAGAAACTCATGCACCAACTCCGGTTCTGTTGTGAAGCAACCAGGTCGGCTGAGTGAAGCATTTTTCTGAATTGAGGAACTGAGTGGAGTACGAGTCAGAGGATAAAGCCTTGGGGCATTAATCAATCCTGCTAGAAGGATGCACCCACGCATCCGACTTCCATCAGAATCGTAGTGGCGTAATGAGCGCGTATGTTGCCTATACAATGACTTGCGNGAGAAGGAAATGTACTTCTTAACAAAAATCCTATAGGTCTATGGTCTATACCAACTAAGAAACTCATGCACCAACTCCGGTTCTGTTGAGAAGCAACCAGGTCGGCTGAGTGAAACATTTTTCCGAATTGAGGAATTGAGTGGAGTACGAGTCAGAGGATAAAGCCTTGGGGCATTAATCAATCCTGCTAGAAGGATGCACCCACGCATTCGACTTCCATCAGAATCGTAGTGGCGTAATGAGTGCGTATGTTGCCTATACAATGACTTGCGGTGGCCAGGCAATGTACAAGTCAGTGCTTCTATCTTACAAACGAGTCTGGTACCAATTATCCAACCCCGGAGGGATGGAAGGCTTGATTGGCCTAGGCCGATATCGGTCCGGGATTCGAACACATGATCATGCATGTGTGAAGTGCGCGACTTGCCACTACACCTCTTTTCACGTATCACAAAGTATATTGACGTAATCATAACATATTACATCATTCCAGTCACGCTAGGGTAGGTTCCACAAGCCGATCTGGCAAACACGATTAGCATGAGCTGATGCATCCAGCTCTGGTACTTTTCTTTTCACAGTTCAGCGACCTAACTAAACTTTAACCTTTTTCATGGGCTCAGCGCCATTTTCATCTAAAATGATGAAAAACTTGAGTTAGTAAATAGCTGTAGATCCATGTGTGAGAAACCCTCAGCACTCCCACGTTATCACCCACATGAGAAGGTAAATAGTAGGAGCATTTCACACACAGTACAATCTGAACAAATAGTTTTGATATTAAAAAAGGAAGCGGTAGAGGGGAGCAGTTCAACTGAGAAGACGTAAAATAATCATTTCTCTAGACGATTGCTCCTCCAGAACCTTGGACAGGTCCCGTCTTACCTGTGATATACGTCTATTTGATCAAGGCTCTCACCGAGGGTGACGTCGATTGATCTAACCGCAGGATGCCCTCCTTTCAGACTGAAAAAGTTTGGTGCCAGAACGAGCCCAAGAGGCGAAAGCGTGGCCGAAAATGATCGTAGGGCTCAGGTTGAAGGTGCTATGGGAAATAGGAGATTTTCAAGGTATTGTTGTCATTACTGTCGTTCCCTGAACGGTCAATACTGATTCGGAAGGAACTTTTTTCAAATTTGTAATGTGGTGCCATGGGCATCATTCCCAGGTGTATAGTCCCTTTTATAAAGTCTCTTTCCATAGCTAGCGTTCCTTTTACGCCTAACTTCCAATTGAGGTCGGTTTAGTAATTATTGGACCCGTCGGAGACGATGAAGGGCTAACTTGATAATCGAAAGGCAACTGCAAGTATTGTACAAGCCGAATGAGCATTCAAACGCTGCTACGATTCTGAATGGAAGTCCAATGCACGGGAACATCTCACAAATGCATTGATTTAGCCGTAGAACTGAATCGATTTGGAACCGGCAAATACGAAGGGAACATAAAAACGATGACGGTTGACTGACGGTGGAAAGGATTGACGGCAATGCCTTCATGCAAACAATTCGTTCAGTTGCCTTTTTTTTATTGACTATTACTATTCTTTATGAGCTCATAAAATTGCCTTCATTCATTTCAACAGAAAGAGGAAAGAAAAGCCCATCCGTATTACAGCACACCTTTCACTAGTTTTAGTAGGTATAAATGAAAGAAAATTTCATTTCTTCTGAAAAAATCCATCAATTCGGTCTATTTTGACTCCTTGTTTATGTTTCTCCTTAAAGCGACAGTTCACGATAATTTCGTGGCACCCATTTCAAGTCGGAAAGTGAAAGTATTGTTTGGAAATAGAGCATCGGTGGTGAAAGAAACGAGAAAATTCGCCGATTCCCTGTAGAAAAAAAAGCTCCTCAAAAGTAGTGAAGATAAAGGTTGTACCAGATATCATAACGCAAATGACATGAAAGGGGTATTTGGACGAGATTTCAGTTGTTGCAATTGCGCAAAGAGCTGACTACATCAAGACGGAACTGTACAGACCTGCCTTTCACTGTCGCCAATAGTCTGAAAGTGGTTTGAACTCCCTAAATGGGTGCCCATGTGAATGGTGCAGCCACTAAAATGCCGTAAAACTCATCCACGCGTACACACGGGACAATTTTTGAGCCTTTGTAACGCCCTACCCAGGTCGTTTTTCGACCTGACATCGCCACTTATGGCATACGAGGGGGTCACAGATTTATCTTATCTCATAAGCCATTTTTATCGTGAACTGTGTCTTTAACCATGCATTCTTTTATCCGGATTATTAGGGGCGTGCTGCTGCAAATAACGCATTATCATGCAGGCATGGTCCACGTATCGAATCCCGGATCGGTTTCCGGCTAAGCTAACCAAGTCTTCCATCCCTCCGGGGTCGGATTGATGGTATTTGGGAAAATAAAAAGAACTATTTATACATCGGCTTGCCACCTTAAGTCATTGTTACGGCCAATTACGCACTCAATAGGCCACTACGACTCTGAACGGAAATCGATGACGGAGCACATACCAAGAATGGGACCAATTAGCTTCGAATACCCATTTTTGATCTCTACAAATGAAATATTTGGGTACATTCGGCTGCATGTAGTTGCGCCATGGCGGATGCATAGTGAACAGTCGAGTTGCATTTGGCTAGTGCTCTGTTATTCCCTTACCACTTATGAAATTAGAGCTTCAACATCTGATTAGTCAATATTTTCGAAGATAAGCCCTGTACCCAGCATTCATTCAGAATTGCAGGGGTATTTTGTTTAGGTAGCTAATGTGTACTTAGACTAGCCCTCGAAATGTGTAGACTGTTTCAAGTCAAGCTTTTCAAGCTTGCCGACAGTTCTGTTACTCATTAAACAACTCCGAAGAGATGCAGGATTGGATCGGATTTCATCCAACGGTCGTGTGTGTAACAACGGCGCCCCTCACCACTCCCTCATCCAATGGTTACAGCTTTGGTACACTCTTTCAGGATATTTCATCGTAAAAGTAAAGGATAAAATTTTTGGCGTCAATCAATCCCGTTTGAGGGATGCGCCCCACACTCGACTTCCACTTAGAATCGTAGTTGGCGTAATGAGTGCCTATGTAGCCTATACACTTCACTTGCGGTGTACAAGTCATTGCTTTTATCCTCACGGACGAGTCTGATACCAATTCACCGACCCCGGAGGAATGGAAGGCTTGGTTGGCTTAGGCGGTATGATACAGGATACTTCATATGCTGAGAGATAGATGGCATTTGGTAAAATGAAGAAAAGCTGAAATGGGTTGGGTTTCGCTTTTTCAATGCAAAATCGGCATCAACTGCTTTGGGTTGGGGAAAACTAATCAATTCGATTACTTGCCATAAAATCTGATGATGATTTGGGAATCTGAGCTGGGCAACATCCCGGAAATGAGGTTTTTCTTACAATCAATATAGATATGACATGAATCCTAATTGAATGACACCATCCAAGCATCCGGCTACTCAAGTCTCCGCGCGCGATGTCGCGCCACGTCGCGATGCGCGGCCGTCGACGTTGTGGATCGAAATGGTGCGCTGCATGCATGCCAGCTTGTTTCGCATTATTGAACCTTTTTTTCTCCTATGAATTGCTTATTTACGGTTGTTTATTGTTTTGTTCTAAACTGGCATATGTTGTGTACACTTATTGTTTGCAATTTAGGGTAATCTGATAGATCCCGAACTATTATGTTTGGTTACCTGTGATGAACTTCGCCCTGCAGCAAACAGGACTAATGTTTCTGAGAAGCGCTATTGAGAGGATACTCTCCGATCGCGATATTAAGAAAAAAGAAAATTTACAATTGAAAAAAGCATGCGAAAATGTTATCGGTAAGTAATTAGATTACTACAATTTCCTTCGTTTCATTCCCAGTTTGAATCTGTGTTTATGAGCTTTCTTCCGAATGATTGAATGCATTTTCAGAAGAATTAAAAGCAGAAAGTGTTTATACTAGTGGCGAAAATAATAATGGTGTAGTACTGCCGGATAAAGAACAAATAGTCGAAGCCGATCGTTATTTCTTACCATTCGAATTGGCATGTAAATCAAGAAGCCCAAAAATTGTCATCACTTCTCTCGATTGTCTTCAGGTAAGTTTTCAAATAGAATTGTTCCCCATTTCTCAGTTATGGGAAATAAGATTTTGTTGCCTCTGCTGCTGTGGTTACCTGTGCGGAACCGAATTGTGGCGAACTTTTCCACGTGGAGACTGGTTTATTCCTTAAGATCTCTTCGTAAACCGGTTTTCTGAACTTTTTACAAATATTGCTATTTCATGATATTGACATATCAGAGTTGATGCTGTCGTGATACTAAGAAATGACAGAAATTACTTCGATTTGTACTTTCGGGATCAAAGTGCTTTAACTAAGGCATGAGCGGTAGCGGCAGGGACAACACGCTTTTATAAAATTTGAAATCAAAGTGGAGAAGATGTTAAGTCTTGAATTGGGCGCCTTTGTACTTTTTTGTGTTGATTCAGTGCTGCGCTAAAAAGGATTTTTTTCGATAGTAGAACTCTGGTTTCCCTTTTTGGACTAGTCATAGTAGCAAACCCTTTCCACTGGGAATTGAATTTTTTGATGATAAATGCGTCTCAGATAATATGATCGTATCAGTTGCATCAGCTTTTTCAATTCATAGCGCATATTTTTGTTTCCTGTTCCTGTTTATTTTTGTTAATATTTTGCTTTAGTTCCCTTTTTATAGACTGCCTTTTTGTGCTGACCGTATCCTTTACAGAAATTGATAGCATATGGACACCTTACTGGGCGTGGAGCGGATTCATCAAATCCTGAGCGCAAGCTAATTGATCGGATTGTAGAAGCTATCTGTTCATCGTTTGTAGGGCAAGGCACTGATGAAGCAGTTTTATTGCAAATAATCAAGGTTTGTTAAGGTTGCAATGAGGTTTTCCTTCAAAGTAATATACATAAGGTGTCATTGTATTGAAAACAAATAATCGATTGTTCTGTTCAGGCCATATTGGCGGTGGTTCTCACGAATAATTGCGAAGTTCACGAAGGCTCACTTCTTCTTGCCGTACGGACATGCTTTACTATTTTTCTTGCAACAAGAAGTCCTATCAATCAATCGACGGCGAAAGGAACTCTCACTCAGGTTATACGGCTTTACAGTCCTTTCTGCAAGTTGGGAAGGGCTTGGCGCTCACTGACTGGGAAGCCTTACGAAACTTTTGAAAACTTTTTTCTTATGTTTTTTTTNTTTTTTTTGCCAGGTAATCAACGCTGTATTTGCAAATATGGAGCGCGTAGGCAATACGAAGGATGATACCGTTATTGTTAGCGAAGTAGTCGAATTCCTTGTCACTTCAGCAGTGACTCTTGCAATGGAATCTGTAAGTTGTTCTCTCAAATTGTTTGGCTTCTCAACTTTCCCTTTTTTCTTCGTTTGTTCTTTATAACAATCTGATTTATAGTTTGACGATGGTGAATCTCGCAGTATTCGCGGTGCTGGTGCCTCTACAATTTGGGGAGATACTGAAGCAAATCCGCCCGAAGATCATATCACTTTTCCTAACGTGGAGCAAAAAGACGCATTCTTAGTCTTTCGCGCCCTATGCGTGCTCGCGCAAAAGGAAGAAGGTGATGCTAGTGATCCAAGGTAAGAGGAAATTCTGATACCCCATCACAACTCAAAACTCTACTTTTTTCTAAAAATGGTGGGCTTCAAAATTGTCCCTTCATATTCTAGGAACACCCACCTCAATTCAAAGATGCTTGCCTTAGAAATGTTACTATTAGTTCTGCAAAATTCATCTACGGTATTACAAAATGCTCAGCCTTTTATCCTTCTAATCAAAAAGTCGCTATGTGTTGCTCTGTCTCGGAACGCCGTTTCGTCAAACGTGAAGGTATCCAAGCTCATGATTGCCTTTTACGTATAACCGCCTTTGTTTATTTAATCCTATGGTAAGCTGTCTTCCAGGTATTCGAGAAGTCGCTTGCAATCTTCGTGCAATTACTGGACAAGTTTAAAATACACTTGAAGTTACAAATCGAGGTGAGCTTTCATTTTCAACTTTTTGATGATGTCTCTACTCTTATGGCACACTAAATCTAAATGTAAACGGAGGACATTGGAAGGCGGTTTTGTTTAATGTGAGAGGGGCTTGGATTTCCGAACCGGGTAGGAGGTGGTCAAAATAAGTGCTTAACAGTCATGTACACGCCTAAAAGATTAGACAGGTTGGTAGAAATTTTGTCAAACGAAGGACTGATTATGTTACGTCGTAAAAGCGTGGCATAGGTCAGTTTTGGTATCTCTAGTTAGCTTAATTGGCTTGAATTTGAGTAAGTGGGAGTTTCCTTCCTATATACAAATCTTGTTNAACTTTTTGATGATGTCTCTACTCTTATGGCACACTAAATCTAAATGTAAACGGAGGACATTGGAAGGCGGTTTTGTTTAATGTGAGAGGGGCTTGGATTTCCGAACCGGGTAGGAGGTGGTCANNNCCTTCCTATATACAAATCTTGTTAAGGTTTTCTTCAAAGAAATCATCATATCTATGCTTGAATCATCGTCGTGCTCTTTCGAACATAAATGGATTGTTCTTCATACTATCGGTAATATTTACCAGTGATCCTTTTGTTGGAGCTATGCTATGTTTCGTTTATTTCAGGCAAGATTCTCGCGAACCCTCAGTCAGTAGTAGATCTATATGTTAACTACGATTGCGATTTGACCGCACACAATGTTTTTGAAAATCTCGTTGATGTAGTTTCCAAAACTGCCAGAACTACTATCAACGAAAATTCTCCTGTCATCCAAAAAGAACGGTAGGCAATGTTTGTTGATTAGGCTCTTCATTTGTTGTTCCTCGTTGATCAATCCCTTTTTGAAGGGAACGTGCAATGCGATTGCTCGGGTTGAGTTGCTTGACAGACCTCCTGCAGTGCCTGGTCGACTGGTTTGATGTGTGTGAGACAACGAAAAACCACATGTTGCGGGAACGTGCAGGTGATGAACCTACCATGTCTTATCATTTCGATTTTGCTTTTATATTAACAGCTTCTGCTGATTTGTTCGGTCCATAACTGCTACAATTAATGCTTTGTTTCTATTAGTTTGCGATGCTAACATTCGTGAGTTCTTGGATTTATTCAAATTCAGATTTATGAAAACAAAGTTGTTACATTCGAAATCAAAAAACTGTGTCTATCTAATCGGCGTGTTTAGAAGCGGAAAATGAGGATACCGATGCAGATCTGCCTTCTTCGCCTACTGTGCATAGATTTGTTCACCTCAAGCAGAAGAAGGAACTGATGGAACATGGAATCATGCTGTATGTTTCCTGAAAATTTGTCCATGATTCCACCGCGATTCCCTAATTGCTAAAATATTATCGGATTGTCCTTGTATTTTACTATTCAGATTTTCCCGCAAACCAAAGCAGGGCCTGGCTTTCTTGCAAGAGCATGGATTTGTTGGCACTGAACCAAATGAGATCGCGGACTTCCTCATGAAAGAAGATCGTCTGGACAAAACTGTGGTCGGAGACTTTTTGGGAGATCCTGATGAGTAAGTGGTTTTGGTTACCTTAATCTTTGCCGTACAGAATTTTGCAGTAGTTCTTTTAGATTTATCCTCGATAATCGTTGATGGTTACAGTACAAGTCTTTCGTAATTCAAGCAATACTAAATTGATCCATAAGCGGAAGCCGTGCTACTAGATTGCTGAGAAATTCCACTTTATCTTGTACTTTCTCATTAAGCCTGTCGAATGTCTCCTTTTACTTTTCGAACCAATTCACCACCTCTTTTCTTACAGGTTCAATAAGCAAGTCATGTATGCGTACGTCGATGACATGGATTTTTCTTCTCGTGATTTCGTCTCCGCTCTTCGTTTGTTCCTTGAAAAGTTCCGATTACCGGGAGAGGCTCAAAAAATCGATCGACTCATGGAAAAATTCGCTTCACGGTATTGCGAATGCAATCCGAGGTGAGAGTTTTCGATTCAGAATATTCTCATATCTTGAAGAGACAATATTATCAATGGCTTGCTTGTAGGAATGCAAGGTCACTTTGCCCAATTTTGTTTGTTACCAATGATTTACTTCTGGTAATTGAGTTGAAGTATATTTTACAACTAGCCTAGTATGTTCTATATCCTAGTTGGACAAAGTCGTTGCCTTTCTTAGGGTTATGTTGCTGTTTCTCTCAATACCTGAAGGATTCCTACTTTCTCAAAGTCAGACCATATTCGAGCAACTTTTCTTAGTGCTGCTTTCGCTAGTTTAGTTTTTAGAGAGAGTTGTTTACTTTCGTATCTGTTTGCAGCCTTGGCTTGTTTGCATCCGCGGATACTGCTTACGTCCTTGCCTACTCAATAATCATGTTAACTACCGACTTACACAGTGCACAGGTGAGTCTTTATAACAGTCCTATTGTGCTTCGAAAAACTGTATTTCCACGTTCTCAAATTCTTTGTAAAAAGTCTTTTTTCACCGGATTGAATGAGTAATTTTCTAAGAGACAGCCCTCTCTTCTTCTTCCTCTTCATCCTAGCGTCAACCACGCAGTGTTCTGCCTTTTTTGTAACTCGTGTCACTTCCTCCTATCAATAGCATCATCTTCTATAACCCCAAACTCCTAGAAGTCCAGCACTACTAGTATATCAGTACCACCGCAGACGCTGCTCTTGTTTTTTCTCTGTGGGTAGCGGCTGTATTCATGACGTCCCCTTTTCCGGTTCAGTCCCTTTTCATCCAACAGCAGCCTGATCTGAGGTCTTCTCATTTCTTGCGGCTTGCATTTGCCATTTGAGGTTTTCCTTTTCCAGATAAAGACCTTTCAATCTTTTACTATTTCGGTTTTAGTAAATATNTAATGATAAGTGAGCTATAAGGCAAGTTTGGTTTTAATGATTTTATCAGGTCAAATTTATTTAATTACTACGGTTTTCCTTTTCATTTTGTGTAAAATGATGTTAGCTTCTTTCGCTACTACCTACGTTTCGACTACTATTCTATTGTGCTACTCGTCCCTACGCCCATCACTCGTCTTTTAGTAAATGCTATCTAGTTTATTAGCGAAAATCCAAAGTGAAAATCGCTCTAATTGAAGCAATAGCCTTGCAGTGTTTTTCACAGTGAAAATTCCTTTTCAAGGTAAAAAGCAAGATGACAAAGGAACAGTATGTGAATATGAATCGGGGAATCAATAATGGCGCAGACCTGCCGCCTGATGTCTTGTGCGCAATTTACGATGACATTTCGACTAACGAAATAAAGATGAAGGCCGGAGCTAGCAAACTTCTCAAAAGTGAGTGGTTTGACTGGTGACCCAAGTTGCAATTTTACTTAGAAGTTGGATGTACGAAAACTAGGAAAGTATTACAGCAAGGAAAGCTGGTGCTGGAGAGAACGATAAACAACGTCGAGCCATGGCCTCGTTAGAGCTTGCAGCCATGTCCGAAACAGCCAGGGCTCTCATGGAAAGTGCAAGTAATTCAGCGGCCGATTTCACATCAGCACAGCATCAACACCATGTGCGGCCTATGTTCAAAGTAAGAGGAACTAAGAACCATTTGAGAACTCTTCTCCCTCTACTACAAAGCTCATGAGTGTTTTGCAGATTTGTTGGACTCCGTGCTTGGCAGCGTTCAGTGTGGGCTTGCAAATGTCAGATGACGTCGAAGAATGGTATCTCTGTATACGTGGTTTCCGCTTAGGAGTCCGTGCTGCTTGTGTTCTTCGAGCAAAGTTGGAGCGGAATGCTTTCATTCAGGTAACTAATTTTGCCCTAATCATCATGTGTTCATATACTAATTTCTGTTACTGATATGAATTTATACCGGTTATGGTTTTATGCGGCCTTTCTATAATATTTCGTACTTGCAAGGTCACTTATCTTCAATTCAGGCCCTTGCCCGATTCACTCTTCTTACTGCTAAGAATGCTCTGGGAGAAATGAAGGAGAAGAACATCGAGGCCATTAAATTGCTCTTAGCCATTGGTGCGTGACAGTCATTTTGTTCCCATCCTTATATGCCATCTGAACTCATTTTCCGATTAGTTCAATTGATTCCTCTTCTTTCTGTTGAAGTGTTGGTAGAGGTAACGCCAACAGAGTAGCTTCTAGTCACTAGTACGGTTTCTTAGTTATGTTGTCTTGTTTTCTTCGTAATACGCTTCGATCGTTCTAAAGTACTATGTCCTCGAAAACTACGAGAAATGCCTTTCAGGTGACGAAGATGGCGACTATCTCGAAGATAATTGGATAGATGTCATCAGATGTATTAGCCAGCTTGAGCTTGCACAACTGATTGGAACTGGCTTAGGTGCCAGCGGTAAGGAGGACAAGGAGAGCAGCCGGCAGTGTACGTGTAAATGATTGCCTTCGTCATTTTTTTGTTATCAGTCGACAGTTTTTTATTTCATTCCTACTTTCTTTCGCTAGTACTTTTCTCTTCTGTTTCTTTTTTCTTCTCATTTTGGATTATCAGAGTTTAATGTAATTTTTTTTCGAAAATCGTTTAGCTCTCAACATTTCTATTTGCTATGCTTGCTCTGATTTGATATTCTTTACCCATTGAACCATAAAGTTCTACGTGTTCAAGGCTGCATTAGCCTGCTAATATTAAATGTTTTTCATGGAAAATACTGTGAAAGAGCCTAAGAATTATGGAACTAAAGAACAGCAATAGTGACAATTGCATAAGATTTGCTTAATTTAACGCATTGTAGATGTGATGAAGAGTACGGGTGCTCTCGATGAGCGAACTTTGGCTACCCTTCAAGGTGCACTTGGCGAAACCAGCTCTCAGGCAGTTGTTGTTGCAGTTGATAGGTATGTTTGTGCTCTTTTAACAACTCATTCTCTGAAGGGTTGCGTCGATACTTCATCTTCTTTGTCAAGAAGCGAAATACTAAATGCTCTCCAATATTCAGAATCTTCCAAGGCTCATGCAGACTGTCCGCTGATGCTATAGTCGCTTTTGTTCGTGCTCTCTGTATAGTTTCTAAGGAAGAGTTGAACCAACCAGCAGCTCCACGCATGTTCCTTCTAGGGAAACTTGTTGAAGTTGGTTCTACACCTATTTTACCGCAGTTATTTTGTGAAAAAGAATTCGGAATTATTTACCACAGCTTAGTTCGTTGTCACTTTTACAAACCTATTACATTTTTGTAACATCGTTTTTTAGGTGGCTTTCTACAATATGGGCCGTATCCGCTTAGAATGGCGACGGATATGGGAAGTGGTCGGCGAACACTTCAACATGGCGGGTGCGTGATTGTCGTCTTTACATCCTCAACGGTTATGGGAGACCTTTGTTTTTCAGGTTGTAATGCAAGCGAAATTGTGGCTCACTATTCCGTAGATGCACTGAGGCAGCTGGCAATCAAATTCCTCGAGAGAGGAGAACTGCCAAACTTCCGTTTCCAAAAGGACTTCCTGAGGCCGTTTGAGGTTTCTATTGATGTTTCACCATTAATCTTGCTCGTGTCCGGGAGGAATATTTGATATTTAGGTCATTATGGCGAAAAACCGTTCAGCCCCTACAAGAGAGTTGGTCGTTGCGTGTTGCACAAACTTGGTTGAGGCTCATGCTCCCCGAATAAAATCCGGATGGCAAAATTTATTTTCTGTCTGGACCCTGGCAGCCGGTACGTTAACTTTTGTCTTCTTATCTGCTCAAACAAGCATGGTGTAGGATGTTCGGTTGTTCAAGAAAGTTTTTTTTTTTTTGTAAATTGTCTTACGACAATGTGATAACATAGGACTTTACAATGTTTTTTCTTCACATTATAAACGGTCATTTTTTCGATTGTTCATTTTCGTCGATGTGCCTTAAGCCATGCATTATTTATGTGTTCAATCAACTGTGCACACGAATTTTATGGATCACTTATGAATTTAAAAAGTCTTGGGCCAAAGTGGAAAAGATGCCCGTTGCAATGTATTCAAAATTTGCAGGTGATCTACAGAAGGACATAGTTGAAGCTGCTTTCTTGGCAAGCTCTAGAGTAGTTA